TACTACTGGGACCCCTCCTGCCGCGACCCCTCCTACTCGCTGGTCATCAAGGGCAAGCTCCGGCTGCGCCAGGCCTCCTGGATCACCCGCGGGGCCACCGAGGCCGACTACCACCTCCACAAAGTCGGCATCGTTTTCCACAGCCAGAAGGCCATGCGGGAGGTGGCCTCCTGGATCAACCAGACCTCCGGCGAGGGCTGCAGCGGGTTCCTGCCCCCAGGGCGCACTTGGGCTCCCGGAGCCCTCTATGAACTGCTGAGCGCCAAGACCGAGCGCGACTGCACGGCTGCCTTGGGCTTCGCCATGCACGAGCTCAGCCTCGTGCGTGTGGAGCAGCACTACCAGGCCTTGCTGCAGCCGCAGCAGAGCGGGAGCCGGCTGGTGGAGGAGCTGTCACACGGAGTGGCTGGAGAGGCTCCACTACCGGCCCACCGGCTACCAGCGACCTCTGCAGAGCGCCATGGTAAGGGTGATGCCTTCATGCGGTCCCCTCGTCGCTTCATGGGGTTTGTTCCTCGCAGTTAAAATAACCACCCGCCTGCAGTCAGCTCGCTTCTGTCCGAGGGCACTGGCTGAGGAGGTGTGGGGCTGGAGGTGCGGGTCCCCAGGGTGCTGCCTGGGTGCTCCTACTCGTTTTGACATAAATAGGACTGAGCAGGAGACTTGGTTGCTTTATATTTTATATGTCATTTTAATTTTCTATTTTATTCTATTTTGCAGCAGGTTAGTTGATTTCCAGACAAGCACATTTCAATCTGAATCACAGCTACTCAATTCAGAAATGACTGAGCAGTGAGATGGGGTGAAGAAACCTCTCTGAACTTTACCAGATAGGACTGAATTAACTGAAAAACATACTATTTTGGGGGCAGCATTTCCCCACACTTCGAACTCCACCAAGTGAGCTCTGAAAACCACAGAGCAGCAGCCCTCTCCCCTTGAAAGTAACATTCTCAAATTGGTTAAACTTGTGTTATCTTGGGCCAAAACTATATATATGAGCAAAACCAGATGGTAAACATAAACACTTTTAAAAGTTAATTTAAAAGCAACCCTAAAGATACTGCAGTGCACTCTCTGAATAGAGCACTGTAATTAATCAGCTAACAGCTCTCCAATGGACCAGCACATGATGTCACCACTTGGCGATAATTAGAAGCTGCCATATATTAGAAATAACTTCACACAACTGGCTTGAGCAAGTCAGATTTTTGGCTCCATGTCTATAGTGATAATTCTATTGGGCACAGGATTTTTCTTCTTGTCCCTTTTCTCTGAACCAACGCCCGTTTGCCTGTGTGGGTGAGTTACACGGCTATGTTAGGAATTATTTTTTAACCCTCTTTATGAAAATACCACTCTTTTTCCTTTAAATTTATATCTGTTTTAAAGAAACCCATTCTCCCCAAATTACCTTTCATTATCAAAGAATTTCCTGCCCAAGCAGAGCATATATATTTGCCAACTTCTGGGATTATTTAGCCATAATGTACTGTGTACTGTCAGCACTCATTAAGGTGACAGTAGCAGTAAAGCAAGCTGAAAATGACTAAATTACAGTAGACTCCAATCAACTTGCATGTAAATTACCCACCTTCCAGTTAACTACTGAGTTATTTAACCTTGTTGTGTACGACAGTTCAGAAAAGATCAGCTCGTGTTCTAGAAAACGATATAATGGTCAAACTCTGGTTCTTTAAAAACAAATCATGGGTGATACATGAAGTATAAGAAAAAATTCCAAGCTACACAAAACCCCCTCCTGGCACTGGATCAGCTGCAGGGCTGGTTTGCCTCAGACCTCTGCACGAAGCAGCAAAGGTCAGGTCCTGGTTTTGCAGTAGGTCCTTTCCTTCTCTCTCAGGTGCGGTGCCCGCTGCTGTGGCTGCTTGGCAAAGCCCCTTGCCTTCCTCCCGATAACAGGAGCGCTCCATGCTGTTGGCTGTCCCAGAGAGGCTGCCATCAGTACAAGGCCACAGCAGCTTCCCTGCAGTAGGGTTTCACCTTTTGGATCACCAAAAAGGCTGCATTGTTTTCTGAACTGGCGCAGGAACGCGGTGGTGTAGCTGACATGTCCCAGCACCCAAAACCTCGCCATGGTAAGGGCAGCAGCCTGCAGTGAGCTTGGGGACCAGCCTGGTTGGCCGGAGG